CAGCATTTCGACTGTAGGCGGTTCCCAAACGATGGCGTCATGAGGGAACCCAACCAAAACGAGCATCCAAAGGGTTTTGGGGCCGAACCAAAAATTTGGATCTGCGAGGGTATTCCCAAACGATATGAGTGAAAGAAGCGAACCCAACCGAAAGATGCAAGAGGCGGAAAACCGAAGAGCGCCAGCCTTACCGATCGACGCCGGGCACAACATGGCCCCGCGAGCAACCCCTCTAGCAGCAGGACACTGAAAAGACAACTCGCGAATTCGTTTCCAATCAGCCGACATGACGAGACGTTGCGACGGATCACCGGAAACCTCAGCAACCTCATGTCGTTTAGACCGGAGGAAACTAGACCACATGGACAAACGGAAACACGCACGGAGACGGTGGGACGCAAGAGCCAGGGGATCGTACAAGTTAACCACAGTTTGAACAGGACCCGCAGACCAAGACCAAGGCCCGACACAAGAGCAGCCACACGACTTGAACCAGGCTTGCAGCGTACCAAGGAGACTACCGGTGCGCTGTCAGCCCAAAGACCCAAAGAAGACCTTTGCTGCGAAGCTTGGAAACCATCGTAAGAAGACGAGACCCAATGGGGCAGAGAGGATGCGAAGCACAAACAATGGCCCGTAAAAACCGGTTGGCAGCCATCATGACACCTTGGACCCGACGGATGGCAGACCAAAGAGACCACAGTTTTGCCATAGGTGGCAAGCGAGTAACCCACCCATACAAGCACTTGCTAAGGGCGTGGGACAAGATGACCCGAGAAGACTGGGAGAAAGAAAAACGACACGACCCGATCAAGTTGCGGTAGAGAGAGCGACAGCAAAAGGATCAGCTTCCTTGGACGTCAACGCCCTGCGACCCCAAGCCGCAGACACACCGAGAATGGTAAATTCCTGGCTGACCCGTTCCGACCTGACGAACTTAGAAGACAGAGCCTTGCGACCATAAGACGTGGTAGACGTAAGTTGGATCTTGTGAGGACTTCTCCCGGAGCCCAACCAGAGCCGAGAAGTCTTTCCAGCACGCAATCTGACGCAAAAGCCCGTTGCACGATTGAGACAGAAAAGAACAGTCGTCCATAAAGATGCGCGTAGGACCAATGGGAGTTTGAGAACGGACCCTGTAGAAACCGCTACACATCCAAGCACACATGGCGATAGGCCCCAAAAACAACCTTGAGGGACACAACTGCACGAGAGCAAAGGAGACCCCCCCGTGTGGCCAGCCCAGCTGACCCAACGACATTGAGCACCCCAGGCACCAAGGATGACCTTACAGAAATTGGGACACCAGCCACCTGTTTCAAGCAGGGCACAAGTAGCAGGCGCGCTCATGCAGTCGTAAGCCTTAGCATAGTCCATTGAAGCACCAAATTTATAGTTGTGCATTTCCCCAAAGAGCTCGCTCGCGGCAAGCTGGGCGTCCGCTCCCTTACCTGCAACAATTTCCTCAGGCAACGGAGCCAACCATTTCAGGACAAAAGGATATTTAACGTAAGCCCCCGCCCAAACCCGCCAAAACAAGAAAGAATAGTGATGGGTCTGATGTTTTCGAAAATCAACAATACCAGACAATACCAGCATTGGATTTCTTGGGCAAATTAACCATCCGGGAGTGCTGAAGAGCAACAGGGACCCGACCATGCTTTTCCCACAAGTCAAGGCAAGAACACGAAAACACTCCCAAGCCTTTGGGGGAACGTGTTTCAATTCGTCAGCCTTCCATCCATCGACGCTGGCCGCTTCGCCTCCCTTGGAGTTCCTGGAGATTTCCACCAGCATTTCGACTGTAGGCGGTTCCCAAACGATGGCGTCATGAGGGACATGGCCAAAAGCAAAAAGGTTCTGAGTAATATCTTCATGGCTCAAAAGATTCTGATCCCAAAAGTGACCCCAAAACTGATTTGGGGTGGTGACTGGCCGCATGAACCGGGGGAGAACTCCGACTTTTCAACCAACTTCCAAGAAACCTCGGGTTGCTAGAAATTTCGTTCTTCCAAGTCTCCAAACGATGTTTGCGAATATCACTTTCCTTTTTCCGCAAAGAAGCTTGGGCCGTAGCAATCTCACGATGGAGTCGACCGATTAAACCGGGTTCCCAATCCATACCAAGCTTACGACACAACGAAACAACTGCCTGAGCATCACGTTCGTGATCCGGCCGCAACAGAAGTCGTCGGAGCTCAAATATGCGAGCCAGGCTTTTGCGGGCTTTGACGATTCCCATAGAACCCTTACCCCAAGTGTTTTTGGTTCTCGACCAAGTGGTAGTGGACCATTTGGGAATTTCACTCTTGATACCAGTTTTATTTCGAACTTTGTAATCCTGAACACTGATCAAACCCTCATCGCTGAGACCAATCAAACAGGCACGAAACATAAGATCCAACGTGTTGAGATACAGGTCCCAGCCGTAACGACCTAAGCAAGCCAGGAATGTGCAGCAATCGCGGCAACAGCCGCACGCCGATGCACGCTGCCCAAAATGCGGCGCGCACCACGAGAGCCCGCAAAACGGCGCCAGCCGCAGCACCATCCCCAAACTAACAAAAGTTAGACGACCGACCTTAGTTCTGGATCTCCATGTCTGGTGACCCAAATTTGTTTCTGCACCTCAGCAAGCCAGGTAAGGGTCTCGCGTGAGCCCCAACCGAAACGAGCATCCAAAGGGTTTTGGGGGCGAGCCACCAATTTGGATCTATGTTGGCATTCCCAAGCAATGTGTGAGAAGGACGCACACTGAACTGAACCGAGCATCCAGGCCAGATGCAAGAGCTGGAGAGTTTCGGATCACCTGCTTTACCGACCCATACACGCAAGGCTCAACATGGCCCCACAAGCCACCCCCCGAGCAGCAGGACAATGAAAAGACAATTCCCGAAATCGATCCCATTCAGCCGACATGACGAGGCGTTCAGAACTCTTGTGGGACACTTCGGCCACTTCATGCCGTTTGCAACTAAAGGAAGCTTTTCCACATAAACAGGCGGAAGCACTCCCGCAGACGATGAGAGGCAAGGCCCAAAGGGTCATCCAAATCGACCACCGATTGAACAGCACCCGCAGACCAAGACCAAGGCCCAACACTATAGCAACCACACGCCTTGAACCAAGCTTGAAGGGTACCTAAAGGACTGCTGCGCGGAGCGTCATCGGCCCAAGGAAGACCTTTGGCACGAAGCTTGGACACCATCGTAAGAAGACGAAGCAATGCACGCATGCCTGTGCTTTCAACACCCCCGGCGGACAGCGCAAGATATAACCACCTAAGATATGACGACGTCATTAAATATATAGTTCTGTTGTATGCCACACCCCGAAGCACCCTGCACACGGAAGGCGGGAAGGAGCGACTCCAGACTCAAAAGCCCAATGCCAAGCACCCCTCGGTGCAGATGTTAGACCAAGCGAACGCACCAAGCAAGTAAAATGTTCGACCTGTAGCCCCATGCGCTGGAACACACCCACCAATGTCTGAGTGACTTGGAAAAGATGTCAGGATAGGAGTTTCTGCCAAACAACGTAGCCTTCAACGCAAAAACACTGGCCGCCCGAAGCCGACATGGAGACGTCTTTGAGGCGAGGGAGGGGGGCGACGGGCCAGCCACCCATACCACGAACTTGGACATTGCAAATGACCGCACCCCCACATGACATGTCACCGACAGGCATACCTTCTGAGATATGGCGCGTCGACTTAACCCTGAACAGAAAACCGCCTGAGTGAAGACGAGAGCACGCGCGCCCGCCAACGATCCACCCTTGTCACCCTGCGGGAGAGCAGGAGCTTCCAACTTGTGAATATGCACGTGATTCATCCCCCACGCTCATCACTGTTGCTGGGTCCAAACAACCGAGATGATGTCCACCAACCCATTTGGCCAACCAAGCCGAGAGAGCAAGGTGCAAGCAGGCAAAAGCCTTACTGAAGTCAAGAGCCAATATGGACTTCTATTGACAAAACTCCTCGAGCAGCCCGACCACGCATTGTTCGGGGCCGAGGGGAAGGGAATTGCCAACAGCGAATGCATCAAGCACGGAATGCACGACCTATGCAACTTTCTTTGTCTTCTTCTTCTTCTTCTTCTTCTTCTTCTCGTTGTGGTTGTGGTTGTGGCTGTTGTGGCTGTGATTGTTCTGGCTGTTGTTCTTTATTTAGCATGCCGCAACCCGAAGCGACTCCAGCACGAAGAAGGTGGCCACGCCATGTCCACACTCAATGGAACAAGTCCAGAAGCTAACAAAGGAACGGCCATTCCAGAAGCAAGCTGCCCCCGGAAAAGACGTCCGTCATTGCCAAGCAAGAATGTCATCTATGTACTGGCGCATGGCTCATGACCATGACCACCTGCACAGCGAGAAGCTACAACCAGAATCATGATTTAAAAAGCTAACAAGATAGTGATCATTCGAGCGGAGCCGCGCTTAGCAAGGTATTGCAGGTCGTCTCTAGGTTACCACTGACCCGATCAGAAAGAAGCCAAGGGCTTGTGGGGGTTTTGGAGCACTGCCCACGATGAGGAGCATCTTCACACCAGCTGGTCTTCCCAGGCTTGGGTGACATGTGCAATGCAGCCAAGTGGCATTCAACACCGCTAAGATAACAAAGGACACCTCAAGATCTTGGGAGGGACACTCGGAATCCCCAACTGTCACGCAAGAAGCTCTTGGCACAAGCTCTGGCCAAAACCGCCGAAAACTTGTTGGGGGAGCAGTCCTGTAGTTTGACCTGTTCATCAAGTTCCGAGATTTTCCTCGTTTGTGGAGTTTGACCCAGGAATTGGTCCGTCCAATCCTGAGGCCAAGGACGTAAATGAAGAGCAGCCTTGGAAACCAAAAACTGGTGAATGATGTTCAACCATCCCGAAACACATTCGGCAATTGGAATAACACGGGACCTGTAGGCTGTCGGATTAGAAAAGTCGAACATATTCCTTGCTGTGACCTGGTATAGGCATGGCATCCAGGCGGAAGACGCACATGAATAAAAGTTCTGGGGTACTGGCATCACAGGCAGCCATCCAACCTGACGAACTGTGTTCGCAAGACTCATCAAAAAAAAGAACACGTGAAGGGACACGAGAAAGTCACAAGAACCACAAAAGCAAAATGTGACATGAGCTCTTGCCGCGGGTCCATGGTTACACTTCGTCGAAGCCATATATGTATGTTGTCCCTGATTGGTTTTCTGGTGGCTGCTTTTGTCAACACGAGTAGGCAGTCTTTGAGTTCGGTCCCTTCCATCCAATGAGGCTCACTCGATTCAAGAAGCCTCTTCACATGACGCCCACGGTGCGTGGGCGCGCGGTTTGGGGGCGCGGTTCGCCCAGCCTTGAAGAGAGGTGTGCACACTTCGTGCCAGCTCCGGCCACCCAGAACCGCTTGGACCAAGGTGTACACGGTCTGGGGCAAGGAGCCTTGGTGTCTTTCACTGTTTTGCGCGCGCAGTCCGACACAGTGCCCACACCGCTCGTTCAACCCTCCTCGCCCGGCGTCCCCGCCCCCCTCGGGTCGCCGGGACCCCGCCGCTTCGATCAGGGAGCCGTAGGCGAACTCCAGGATCCGGATGTCCGCATCCGAGTGCTCCGCTGCCAGGGTCGGCCACTCCTTAGCAGACCGGTCGGCCACTCAGCGCGGGCAGAGAGGAGAAAGAGACCGGGGGCACCCTCGAAGAGGGGCAAGAAGCATGAAAAAACTACCGTACATTAGTCGTGTGCTTAGTGAACTTGGTGGTGTATACGCCCCTCACAACTCTCAGCTCACACCCCAAACACTGTTTTTGGCTCGTCCCCATTTATAAACCACCACTTGGGAAGTCTGAGCCGGTCGAGTCCTGATGGGGATTTGGTTTCCGAACTCCTGTGACTCCCAGGAAGAAGCGCGTCACGCGCGCCGAGAACAACCGCTCCCAGCGCGCTCGCTCGGGGTTTTCGAACGCGGCCCAGGAACGCTCCCAGGAGAACCCAGGTGGAGGTGAAGCCAAGAAGAGACCTCATGAGGTCTGGTCGTCGGTCGACGGCCAAGGTGGGCAACCCTGTTCCCGCCGTTAGAACCATTGCACGACGGATTTGAGACTACAAAAACACGGTCAACTGACAGTCAAGCGTTTCTTTGTAATGGTCCTTGAAGGCAAATCTTTTGGCACACAGGCGTAGTTGTTGGGATGCCCACATGGCGTGTTGCTTGTTTGGGTGTAGCGGGGGGGGTGACCCCAGCAGGTATTTCCACCAACTGCACTCATGACTGCCAGACCCTTCACACTTACCAACCACGTGCACTGAGGATTGCACATTGGCTGTCAAGAAGATCGCCTGAACAGAACGTTTGGGTCGAAGAACTGAGCGCTTTCACTGCTGATGGGGGGAGCCCATGGAAAAGTTCTGGGACCACTCGTTTCAAGGATGCTTCTCTAAAAACCCTGCCTACACCACAACAGGACAGGAAGATCTGAGGCCACGACGAAAGCATAAATGATGATGGCCAGCAGCACCAGGGCCCAAATCAAGGATCGAATCGAATCCTTGTTCACCAAGAATGGTCTCGGCCAGCTAACTCTTTCAACAGACGCAGCCAGCAAACAATCGAAAAAGAGAAGAAGTGCTGAGAATATGAGATCCGGCTTGCCACCCACCACCAGCATTTAAATCACAAGAGCCTAGCTGAAGACTGGCACTCCCAAACAAAATAGCGTTCCTCTTCGAGAATGCCCTCAAATGCTTGAGCAGTTCCATCTTGTCCCCCACTAAGTGGCAATCTTTTAAGCATAGAGTGGTCCCAGGCATGCACAAGCCTTTTGGCCCTATAGTTTGAGACATACAGTGCACGTAGACGTTCGTAAAATTAGCTTATAAGAAGTCTCAACGTTGACTTGGAGAATGATGCAACGCCCGGGCGGATGGATCACCTCCCACTCCGAATCCGCCAGGACCGATCCAGGCACGGTGATCATCAGCGCCAGCTGGGTGAGCTGCCGAAAGAAGCGGAAGACCCGGAAGACTCCTGCGTCATCGCGCCCCTCCCCTCGCCAGGGTGGCGAACGACGCCCGTACCGCGCGCACCAATGCGTGGCGGACGCGGCTCGTGCACCGTGGCGGCCGAGGCGCGCATGATGCGCAGCGTTTTGAGCAGCTTGACCTCGGTGAAGCCAGCGCCATTCTGGAGCACACCTGAGACATTGGTCCATGTCCGGGTGGGATGAGCACTTGGCAAATCAACCCTTGGAGGCTTTGAGGATGATTTGGTTCAGATGTTTTCATGGTCTGGTGGGAAGTCCTCGCAAGATGCTTGGTATGGTTGAGTTGCATGTTAGGGCAGTCTGCAAACCATGCGGCGCTTGAATCATGCCAGCCCACAGTGACTTGGGTGAACAGCTTTCCGCGGCCTGTTCTGAAAGAAATCGTCTCATTCTCAGCGGCTTTTGCTTCATTCCCAAGTCGGGGTGTTTCCCCAACTCCCCCAGCCCCACAAAGTCCTGCCCAGGCGCGAAAGATCATGAAGTCGATCAAGGACATGGACACAAGTAGGAGGTCGAATAAATTCCTGAGATTAGAGCGAACTGCACCTACTTCTGCAGCCTTGCCATACAGAGTTCACCCGTCTTCCAGTTCAATTAAAATTGGAGGTTGTAACCCAATACACCGCTGCAGCTCTTGCAAAGATGAAGAGTTCCCCGCGAATCTAAGTCTGGTCTTCCTGTTGGGGATGTGAAAACTTTCTTTCTTTCTTTCGTTTGCCAAAGGCGTGTGGGTCACATTATACTAAGTACTGTACACAAAAAAGTATTTACACGCCCGTAGGCACCCCTACGCCAACCGCGGCGCGCTCACATTACCACTGCGTCTCGGTCAAAGCTGTAGCATTTCATTAATATCAATTTGGTATCGAAGTCCAGGTAAAAACCTGGTGAGTCAAATCTTTCATTTGTGTGATCCTGCTTTTTTACAATTGGTAGTTTCTTGCCGCATTCTGTATATGTGCCAGTTGTTCAGGCGATTGGTTGAATCCTTCACCATTTGGACGTATTTTTTTCCCAGACAATGTTCAAGGTGGAGTCTATCCATCTCCTTCGGGGTCGACCTGGTCGACGGTACAGCACTTCAAAAGGAGCCGCCGTATCTTGCCGAAAACATACATTTCTCAAAGGATTTGTACGCGGTTGTCTTAGAATGTGTCCAACTAAAGCGATCCTTCTTTGACCCAGCAGCTCGCTGATCTTTTGAATTGTACAAGTCGGGTTTTGGCGAGTTTGAATTGCAAATCATTATCCAGACATCTCACTCGGCAAGAAATGCAGTGCTCACCTACAGCAACCTAGTGCTCACCTACAGGAACCGAGCCACCTCATTTACGGCCTCCGGGTGCCATCGGGGGAATGGTCCTTGGATGGCTCACGGGCAGCCAAGTGTCCAGAGCCGCATATCTGGATCAGCACACCAGCTGGCCTGCGATCACACCCGAAATCCCATCGGCACGACCAGCTGATTCATCTCTCAGCGAGTCGAGTTGGACCTACCACGCAGCCGTCCCATGAATGACGTTGTGAGTGGCAGTTAGTCATCAAAATCTCTTGTGAAATCATTTCAATCCACTGCCACGCCTTATGTGCCCCAATTCGAAGTATAAGTTCCTCAAAAACACAGCCAGGCTGTGAGAGAGCATCTCTTGCATTCCACCACTGCTCAGGGGCCATACCAAGCATGCGAAGCTGACTTCCCAAGCACCAGCATGTCCGGGCCAAGAATGATCCTCCCACACTAGCGCTTTCAGGAGCCAAGGAGCCAGCAGAAAGTAGAAGGAGCAGACTTGGCTCACTGCCTCCAAGCCTCAGCGACGTACCAAGTGAGGAAACGAACGAACCGAAAAATCTTTGGCTCAAGAACGAGCCGACAGGTGCGCAGCATGACCCCACAGCAAGCCAACCAAATGCGGAAGTCGCTTCTATTTCTTGCGAAAGGATGGCCGTATTGTCCACTGTCCAGGTGCTGCTGTCTTCAATGATGTCCTTTTTGCTCCAGTTCCTTCAAACCAAGCAGCTGGAAGGCAATTCCTCGGCCATGGCTCCGTACTGCCTCAGCTTCAGGTGGGCGCAAATCTGCAGACCCATCCAAACCCCTGGCCACATCACCTATATTACTGGCATTGTTCTACTTGACTTTCCGAACTCAATCTTATGATGTCTTGCCATGCATTTGCGAGCCGTTTCCACCTGCAACAAGCCAAAGAGGCTAAAAAACATATGGTTATTCTCCACAGCACCACAATGCGCCCATGTACAGTATACATAAACCTCCTTGGTTCAAGTGGAGCCGCCTGCGCCCAACTGGTCCAAACCATCGCAAGAAGCCACTATCAAGACAAGTCGGAAGGACCGAAGGACCGCAGCTCCAATCAGGTGTAAAGCCCGGAGCGTGGAACCCTACTTCTGCTTTCAACGAAACCTCTGCAAGTCACTGAATTTGCAGAGGTCCCATGTCAATGAGCCCATGTTCTACCAGTCGAACACCCAGGCTTCCTCAACTTCTCCAACTTCCTGCCTATCCTCCCATCCTCCCGTCCGCCTGTCAATGAGCCCTCACCCTTCCGAGCCAACCCACCAACCCCACTCCTTCCTTCCGTGTCTTCCTTCGCTCCGGGTCGCGTCTCGGCACCGATGGTGGCGGCGTTCACCAGGATCACCAAGGCCGTCCAGGCATCGAAGACCGGATGGCTCACCTCGGTCGAACTCGCTCGCTGCCCCCCGCGGGCGGTCGGTCCGCCGGTCGGATCGCGGACCGCGATCCGGTCGAAGGAGCGTTCGCCGCGGTGAAAGACATCGGTGCTTGGGAACGAAGAGAGTGGTCCTACGAAAACGCATGGACATCAACGGCCGATCTATGAGGAGAATGGTGTCTTGAAACTATGTTATATAATTGTCGAAAAACGATGCTGATACCTCATCGTCGAACCGTTCGGCTTTTCCAAGAGGCCACGAACCAAAATCGGCTGGATCAGGAATCCCTTCCCCGATGCGCGGCGTTGCCGTCGCGGTCCCGTGCGTTTGGCGGGCCAGCCGTGCCAAGCAGCTAGGGCCAACAAGCTCCAATTCTGATACCATGTCCGCTCTCCATCGTCCTCACCAAAATGAACGTCCACTTCAGTGAGGACCCGAGCACCGATGGATCCAGGTCCCCGTTCGGTCCTCTGGATCCAGGTCACCGTAGTAATCCGCGCTGATGACTTTCTGGGACAGCGTAGTGTCACATGCTTTCGTCGGCGGCAATCGCTTAAAACAAGCGTTTTGACTAAATCGGAAGCACTATGTTTCCATCTGAACACCACATGACTGGAGGTGGTTGGCCTCTCCTGGTTGGCCTGGTTGAGCTGCTTCTTCAACCTTCCAGTTGCGCTCAGCTGCGTTCATTCGGAGTGTCTACACGCATGCATGCATATATATATATATATATACTAGGGTGAGATGACTTAGGCCAATTGGGTCGAAATGACATACAACTTTCCCAGGGCAAGTCCTAAGTCATGTACAAATGTTAAATTTGCAATTTCATTGGCACACACTCATGACATAGGCCTTGTTGACCTGGTCCTGAGTTTTTTTTTTTTTTTTTTGGGGGGGGGGGGTTGGTGGGGGGCATGCTCCTGGAAGATTAGGGTGAGATGACTTAGGCCAATTGGGACTTAGGAATCCTGTCCTGTCTCATTAAGAACACATTGCTACGAGTATCTCATTTAAGTCTGCCTTTGTGCGTTTTTGCTCTCAAATTCCTATCTCTCGATGGTTTATTCATTGTTTAGATACCAAAGTCGTATGTCATGATGCTTGTCAATATAAAATCAACTGTTTTTAGGATCTTTGGTGACAACCTCTGGCATCTCTGATTTTGAGGTTTTTCCAAGCTTTTGCTTCATGACATAAATACTTGTGGGGGGTAGGCTAAACCTTCATGACTTAGCCGCCGCAATTTGGAGGTAGTTTTCACAAGTCCTTTGTCATTTCAGCCTAGTATATATATATATATACCTGCATACATGCATCCATGCGTCCATCCATCCATCCATGCATATATACATACATATACTGTATATGTATGCATGTGCATAAATACAAACATGTTTCGCGTTTGAGATGCAGGGCGGCGGATTTCTCAGCCTAAGTACTTACTCAGCCCAAACCTTTCTTTCAAGCTGCTCCACTCCACCCCATCCATCTCTCCCACTGCCGCACCCTCCGCTGCATCCCTCCCGCAGCCTCAGCGTCTCCGGCGCTCTCGAGTTCCTCCGGCGCTTCTCCGAGGCCTTCGACTCGTTGCTGATCCGCATGACGGGCGCCGCGGACCCCGCCCGCAGCGCGGGCGCCGCGGACGTCGGCACGGCGTCCGCAGACCGCCCGGTGGCCATGGGCACCGTCGGCCGCGCCGGGGCTGGGGAGCCCTGCAGCAGCCGTGAAACGGCATAGCCTGGTAGTAGATGAGAGATGGGGTGCCCCCCTTGTGGCTGTCAGGCTAACCCAACAAGAATGTCAGAAGCTCTTAGTCATTGTGCCTCAGGTTGACGAACTGAATGAGCTCATGTGGTCTGCAACGGGGCCTTTCAAGCATATCCTGATGCTAGCAGAAACGCGACCAGGTCTCCTGTGCTCCTGGTACGGCCTTTCTGACCTCAGTGCATCAAAGTGTCACATCTTCACCATAGAGGATCATAGAGGGAGAGCGAACAAGATCCGACAACACCAACGCCGAACACGGAAGAGGCCAAGCTTCGCGTCCAGCAAAGCTGTCGTTCACAAGCTGCCGTTCACACGCTGCTGTTCCCACCGCTCTTCCTGCCCAGGCACTGGGTGCCGGTGAGATGTCAACCTCCTTCGTCTCCTCGCCTGGAGAGGTCCAACATGGCCGGTCGGGGCCCCCGAGCGACAGCGCCGCAAGAAAAAGAACTGGCATGCTGCCCTTGACCACTCCACTAACAGCCGTGTAGAGGGGGGGAAGCTAGTCTTATGGACTTTTGGTGGAGGGAAGTCTAGTGGTGCCACAGAACAAAAAGATCAGGTGGGTAGAAGCTCGTGAGACCCCTTTCACCCCTCCAATACATAGCCCACATATCTGAAACATAACTAAGGTGTCAAACAAAATCACAAGTGACCCTATGCAATTGTATTCAATTCACTCCATCATCCCCCTCCACATGTGGCAAAGGAAACAATGGATAAGAGTAAGTCTCCAACGTTCAGAGCTGCTAGCATCTCCATCAGGAATGACTGCAACCTCAAACGCAAGCCAAGAGTAGTTCAAAAACAGAAAGTGAACTACAGTAAAAGGAAAATGATCTGTAATATGCTTCTGTCTACTGCTCCATCTACTGCCATTTGCATGTTATTCTTGTTAACACATGTGCATCTTCCACAGCCAAACGTCGACATCGTCGGTCCACTTCCTTTCAGGCTTCGACCGACACCGGGAAGTGCTGCACCTGTCGACTACGTCGAGCTTCACCGGCAATTCACCCCAACAGGCTGGCACACGGGGCCTTTGAAGAGGGAGATCCTCCCATGCACAGGGGTTTTGAGTCAATCTTCTTCTTCCAGACAGGTGCCTGGGAGGTCTCCCTAATTGTGATACATAGCCCAAATGATCCCTTCTGCAGTCTGCAACTATCTGCACTGAAGGAGAAGCTTCCAGATCTCGCGGCCCTGGGTGTTGTGGCATCGACTCCACACGCGCCTCCAGCTCACGGATGGCGGCCTGGCGCTGCCCGGCACTGCGGAATCCAGAAATCCGCACAACTGGAGCCTGAGAGCACATCCCCGGATGAGTGGGCGGTGCTCCATGCTAGGCCAGAGCCCGCAAGCCTCCAACTTCTTGTGCAACTGCTGGCTCTCAGTGACATGTTGGGCCTGGGATGCGGTACGTCAGCCAACTCTGTGGCACACTCAAAAAAAGGACCGTCTACGGTACTTGTACAGCTTGTACCTCACACCGCGGACAACAGAGGATCTGTCGGAGAAAATCACCTGCACTCGATCTGAAAAACCGAGTGAAGTTCTTCCTCGTGAAGTTGGATCCTGAGTTCTGACCGCGCAAGGCCACACTTTGTCCACTACAAGTGACACGGCTGGCGACACCTCAATAAAGAAGATCACCTCCCAGTGTGTCCACCAAGCGCTGATGGGCTTGTGGACCCAACTCTAATTTGACCACTGGCAACCCCAAGCTCCACACGAGCCAAAGGAGCTGAGTCCCAAGCGGCCAGATCTAGTAGTGCTACTTCCAAGCCATTCTCCTGACAGCACCCGCAGCAGAATTCTGAGAAGAACTCCTGGGGTGGCTCAAAGCCAGAGTTAAATCGGTGCAAACCAATCAATGCCAGCATGCATTCACCAGAGATCGATCAAGGTCGTTCTTGTGGGGCTCCTTTTAGGGCACCCCTTGCATCCTACTGCTGTGTTTGGTGTCCTTGTCAGGCTCAGAAAGCCCAACCGACCGACTGTTGGCTCGGGGCGCCCATCGAGATGGGGCTGAGGCCTACGACGATCCAACACAGCCAGGTCGCCTTGCAGGTGGCCAGCCGCCTTGCAGATGGGAAGAATGGACCAAAGCGTATGGTGCCCATGGCCCTGCACACCCACCCTCACCCGCACTCAGCGACTCGATCTCTGAGTGTCGGGCTTTTCAGGGAGAACCACCGGTGCCAACGGCTGAGAGAGGTGCGTGTCTCGCGACACCTGCAAAGGGGAGGTGTTCTCAAACAACTCTAACCACCCCAAAACATATGGGCTGCAATCCAATGAATGCAAGCTGCTCCATCACCGGACCTGGTGCCCGGAAAACTCGGCCGCCCTCTTGTTTCCCCAACATGGCCCCCCTCCCGAAAAGAAACCGCCAAACTTAAAAGAAGTGCCCCAACCCGCCAAACCGGGCGCCCCCCACCGAGCGCGCGTGGGGCTGCAACTCGGCCATGGCGAAGCCGAACCGGGCCGGGCGCTGGTTCCGCGGCGGAGCCAACAAGTCGAGTGTTGGGGTTGTGGGACGGGACGGGCAAACCCGGCAGGTGAGAATCGATTTATATATACGTTCCACCGGAGGCCGAGACTATTCAAAGAACGGTCTTTTAGGTGACCCGAAGAGGAACTTCCTTACTTCAGTGGGGCACAATAGTCTTCGAACTTCTAGGGTTGTGAAAGGCCACTGGGCGACATCCTCGAATGCATCAACAATCGTCACCACCAAAGGCGTCGGGTGCCTCACACTGCAGCAGGAGACATGTTGATCAAGAATGCACAACGGCCTCACAATCCCTGTCGGAAGCCAACTCTGATAAGTTCCACTGCTTGTTCTCCAACCTTGGCAGAGTCTTCGTCTCACAGTGGTTTGGGTTGGTGGTCAATCACTCAGTTACTGATGTTCTGAGGCAAGCCTTCTTCCTGCGACGCCCCTTGCCTTGCCACCTCATCGCCTCTCTCTGCAAGAATGCATGGTGTCATGGGATGTCCGAGGGCTCCGGCTCAAAGCATTTTCGTCTAACCTGCGGGGGGCAACGGGCTGGGTCCATACCCAGTGTTCCATACCCCCACACCCTCCGCAATCCGCCGCCCTGGGCTCCTCAACCGAACTACGACCTTCATGCAAGCCCCTCACTTTGATTGCAAGCCTTACTGTGGCTTCTAGGGCTGAGAGGAGCTTTCTTGGATCCTCTCCACCCTTCAACACGAAGGAGATGAGCGCGCTCTCCACCGCTCACCTCACCCAAAAGAGGGTCTTGTCTGGCAGAACGGAAGGCCGTGCGCCTGGCCACGACCGGGGAGACGAAAAGGGAACGGCATCAAAGGCGAGAAAAACGGGGCCCGAACCCTCCGTCGTGGGCCACACCTTAGGTGTACATCAAACCATGTGGTGTTGCTTAGCGTTGATTCGCCTTAGCAGTCGCCATATGTTGTGATCGAAGTGGCCAAGAAGGATTTGGGGTGGGGATTCTTGAGGTCAACCCAAATGAGATGTTTTGCACCGTGCGCTAAGACGCACCCGAACAAATACATACAAATATGGACGCAGCTGACGGCCTGCGGCCACCATTCCAACACCACCTCTTGAAGCCTATCATCCCCCAGCCTTCAGCGTTTGAGGAGAAAGTGACCCAGCACAACACGAGGCGAAAAAAAGGGGCCAGAATAGGCCAGAATCCCTCCTCCACAGCTGGACGCCCGCAAGGACACGGCCGAAACACACGGCCACCCGCTGTCCAGCCTGAGTTCGCACCCATCTTTCCGAGCCTCTGCCAGACTGCTTCGCCTCAGCAGCCCACCGAGACGCGCGGTGGAAGGACGTGCACGTGGCGAGAACAAGGTGGCGGTTCTGGACAGCACCGAGAACCAATGATGAGCACCAACCTTTAACCTTTGAAAGGACGAGACGAGGAGGACGCTGGTGTCTACCAGCCTTTTTGCAGCGAACATGCCGCCCGAGAGAGGCACCAGGGCGCGTAGATGCGGGCTTCTTTCAGATACTCAAACTCCTGGCTCAGCCAGACTGGGTCAATGACTCTGCTGCAAGATTCCACTGCAGGATTGCCGCGCCCTTTTTTTGGTCCAAGCACTGGAGAGACGTGTTCTACGAGATCAGCGGATGGGGCTTGACCGCCCGTTTCGCTGCTTCAGTGACAACTGGGAAGATCTCATTAAACCAATTGACCCTGATGCGAATTAGGCATGCAATCAACGAGCGCAACGGAACTGCAGCTCTATGCCTCAGCGACTCCAAGTAGAAAGCGACAAATATGGGCCACAAGTATAGCTCTGAAGCGCCACGACAACTAGACGCAAGATGTGAGGAGTGTCTTACAGAAAGGGTGACGAGTTAAAAGAAGAATAAGAAGAAGAAAAGGCATAGTTTGCTCAAGAAAACCCAGCACCCTCAACAAATCATCACTTGGCACATCTCCACAACCCCAAGCAGTGAACGCTTTCAGTTCGAGGCCCTCATGTCGCAACCGGCGTGGGGTTCAGAGGTTCAAATGACCCGCCTGAACTTGGAAGACTTGCCCCGGTTGGACACCAGCAGGGACTTGCACTTGTACTTGCCGGCCATCGGGGGTGCTGATGACGATCTGAGAGCCTGGAAGAATTTAGGTCAAAAGGCTACCATGAGGAATCAAACAATTCCAGAATTGGAAATAACTTTCAGGAATCCCACAATTTGGAGGGGAAAACCATGGTCCGGGAGATTTTTCCCTTAGAACATAGGAATTGAAACAAAAGTTCCTCACCTCAACAGTGGCTGACCGGTTGTCAAACATCACCCCAAAACATCACTCGCTTCACTCACATAGGCCATGAACCACCTGCATCAGAAGCCACCTTCATCTCGTGCCAGAACCACACCCGTCCTCGCCTTCAGAAGCGTTCGCCGGGCACTGCACCTGCATGAGCGTTGGTTGCGGCATCACCACGGCCTGTGCCACCGCCGGAGCAGCCTGCGCGGCGGCTGGCTGGGCCTCGAAAGCTCGGAGTCGGAGGACCTAGACCTAGACCTAAAAGACTCTTTACAATGTTATATCCTACCAGCTGCTTTTCTTGGGGGTTACCAATGGACATCTCCACACTACTTATGTCTCTAGACAGGGCACCCCGACAGGAAGTGCTAGGTAGTCATCCTAGTCTTAGACACTCCATGAAATAGTATGTTTTGTATGCATGTTTGGCACTTCTGCCTGATCGGTACGAATGAAACACTTCAACTTGCGAAACTGAACGTGTCCAAGAGAAACTGAACTCCTTGGACCAAGCGTGACAAGTCTTCCTTGCCAACCGTCCAGTTGCTGCCCCAACGTCATTCTTTGAGTCATTCTTTAGCAGGTTAAGCCACTCTTCGTCTCGAGTTGCACAAAGTCTGCGAATGGGCCATTCCAAAAAATTGCCCAGAACTCATGATTTGTGCACTTTTTTGCACGATATAGCCTATGGGGCTCAAAGCCTTTGGAAGATTTTAGTAATTGGGGATCGGTGTGCTCAAGCAACGCTTGCCCTGCAACCATCCCAACACTGCCCAGCACTGCTGCCGGGTTGCAGGTGTCCAGCTTAGCCTTAGATAATCAGATAGTCTCAGATATCACAGGCCACGCATTGCGACCCCACCAACTCTTAAAAACAGAGAACTCACAACAAAAACAACTCACAGGGGCTTTCTGAAATCGCCCAACTCTGGTCGTTTCACTGGTTTCGCCCCCCAGCTCCCAACAAAAAAAAAGAACGGCACATGGCGCACCGCTGCCGTTGCTCCCAGAAGCTCAGTCGCCTCCCCCACGGGCTGCTGCCGGGCTGAGCTCCGCCGGCGGACCTTGAAAAAGCACCGACGAAGGAAAAGGACTGACTGAGTCTTAGGAGTCTTCAGGGACCACCATCTCCTAAAAGTCCATCTCCTGAGGACGTTCGAACCACCAAAGCACTCTGACAGGCAAGCGGCAGTCATCCAATTTCAATTTGAGGAAAACTAAATCAATGCGATTTCAACTGTTGGTGCGGCGATAGTTGCTTGAGCTTGCAGAAGTTCTCTGCGCTTGGAACACCAGGTGTTCTGCAACGCCTCCAAAGACACCCATCAAGTGCCTAGCACTATGACAATATGCCAAAGCCAAAGACCAGAAAAAGAGCCGCCCTGCCGGGCTCCTCTTTGCCCTCCTCCCATGCTTGGTGGCCGCTCCTCTTCGGCCCTCTCCCCCGGTCCACGTCGCCGATGCGGGGCCAAGGCACCTTTTGGGCACCCTTGCGTGTGTAGGCGAAGTAGACCACTCCGCCAAACATGGCCACCGACAGCAGCAAGAGGGGGACGCCCACGATCGGCCTAGAACGAACGAACGAAAGCACGTTCGGAAGACGGAACGCGAGGGGGCGAGGTGGGGCGCCCCCTACGGGTTTTGGGCTCACCCTGCAAAGGCCTGAAGGCCTGAGGTTCAATCAGCCAAGTAACATAAATTAAGTAAATTGTGAGATGTATGTATGTACAGTACATACCCTTTGCCCATATATTTGAGGGGTTCACCAAACCATTAGCAACCTCGCAACAACATTCCCACAGCCGGCCAGCACCGACACCACCTCCTGAAGCGGCCCAAGTCATGCAACGTGACGAACCATTCACCGGCTCCAAACTGGCTGGTAACCTCGAACATCTGGAGGATCCGTGCAACTGGGGCACCGGTAGTAGATCCAAGCAATGGCCATGGCGAAGAGGCCACAACCCAAACCCAAACAGCAACTCACGATGCAAATCAAAATGCCAACCAGCCTCAGCTGAGATCGACGCGAGGGGGGTTCCAGAGCTGTGGTGGCTTTTTTGCGGTGGGCGAAGTGGGCGAGCGAGAACAAGATCTTGCTGAAGGGATGTCTTCGTGATATCGTCAATGACTGGATCTCTTTCCTGGATGCTTTGAATGGTGAAATCCCTGTTAAGAAGACATCTGGCAAACCTCGGATCTGCTCCCGCACCACACCAAAGAAAGCAACACACCTTGCAACACCTTGCAACAGCCGCCACGTCCGGACCAGCGGTCTCGTCTTCTCACCAAGGAACGTCTCGATGAAGTCGGCGATGAGCCCCAGGCAGCCCCCGACGCACGGAACTTGGTCCAGGCAGTCGCCAAACCTCGATCCAGCCAGGTTCGCTGGCACCGAACCGTTCGGTGGCACCGAACTCGAAATCGCAGGCAGAAGCGAGCGATCCAGGAGCAATCCGAAGAATGGCACCCAAAACAATGGCAAAGAGGTTTTTGTTCCAGGTTGTCCGGAAGCCGCTTTTTTCTGCCAGACTTCCGGATCGAAGAAGTTTGGGAGGAGCTCCAGACTTCTGGAACGCATTGAGAGGGGTTTAGTGATTCAAAAGGACATGGAATTTTTAGCTGGTAACAATGGAGGTTTCGTGGGTGCCCCACTGTCTCCAAGTCGTACGCAATGTTCATCCCTCACATCCAGCAAGTCTTCGGTTGGAGGTCATCTCGCGGTTCAAAAGGTGGGGTAAGCGCTCAACGTCCCAATCTCCGAACCTCCGCCTGCAAAGGCAATCCACCAGTTCACCCCCTCCCTTGTCCAGCCAGCCACTTGTCCATGAACCACAGGATTGGTTGCAAGAAACCTCGGCTGACTGTGTCCAAGGCAGGGGGGCCAGATCCGACCAGCAACGACCACCGATCAGATCCTGCGGCGCTTTTCTCCACCCCACCGGCTGCAACGAACTTGAAACGATCCAGGTCGAAACATCGCCCCCTTCGGCTACCTGCAGCCACGGCTCAGTAGAAAGCCAACCAGAGAATGATGGGACCCACGATTCGGCCCGCCCACAAGAAGCCCCTCAGCGACATTGCGCTGGAAGGGTCCGGGAAAAATGAGAGCTCAGCTGCCTCCGGGTGCGGGACTTCAGCCAGGTTTGTGTGATCTTGGGTGATCTTGGGTGTCTCTATGATGTTTGTGGCCTTGACCACGCCCCACCCGGTTTCTTCGCCCAGCGTCTCGTTGGTGGAATTCTCCTCGGCCAATAACTCCTCCAGCGACATGATCCGATCCTGCGACATCAGCGGCGGACGCCCAGGTGGACGAACTCCCTGTTTCTCCAAAACCGCGGGCGAAAGAAGTCATCAGAGGGTGAAGGTGGAAAGAACCAACAAGCTCCAGTCCGCCCGCATTCGATAGCCCTCGGCGGATGATCGAAGCTTCGTCTTGGCCCGCAGGTGGTCTTTGGACACGACCAGTGAATATCCTCAGGCACCAAAGAAGAGGGCTAATCGAGTGAAGCACCAAGCCCACCCCACCGGATACCATCGAAATGTGACATGTCAAATGAAATTGTACAAGTATATTATGTAAATCGTTACGTGTTTATATATATATATATTTAGCACGAGCAACACATTCATTTTTAGCGGACCACTTGTGTCAATAAGTGGGAGGCGAATCGCATACCTACCCACAGG